TGGTTCTTGATTTCAGATTGCCTTAATTATATCACCTGCCTCCACCCAGACTCAAACCCCAGGGCTTCACTGTGAGTCTTGTAACTCCCATGTCCCGTCATAACAGACTTCACAGGCAGGTGCAGACAGACAGAAGCTTGTTTCACTGGTGCTCCAAGCTGGGCAGAAACGAGCCAGCTTTGGTCTCGAAGCTGTGCTCCTACATCACCTGAAAGGGAGAGCTCTTTTATAACCAGACAAGATATGCAGCAGTTTGGATCACAGACAAACTGTGTCCACCTCTCTCTCTACTTGCTCACTTAGACATATTGTGCAAACCTGTACTAACTATAGGGTACAGATTAAATTTAGATACCAATTAAAGACACACTCTTCACATGTCTCAAATATTTGTCAGATGTTGAGCAGTATCCTCTGTGCCACACAGGTAGACAGAAATTCACTGTGCAGGCTGTAGAGGACCAAGGCAGAAAGATTTCTACTAAACTTGCTTAAAACTGGTTATAGTTTATCTGTGAATGTTATATATGTTGACCATGCCTTTCAGATGAAGCATAGCAATTGCACTTCATTAATTTGGGTATCAAGCAAATTCTAGTCTGAAGCACACTTTTTGAATGTGGTGGGTTGACCTTGGCTGGACACCAAGCTTGTCTATCACTCTCCCTTCTCAGCTGGATAGAGGAGAGAAAATAAAATGGAAAATGACTCATAGGTTAAGATAAGGCAGTTTACTAAAGCAAAAGTGAAACTTCGTGTGTGTGCAAGCAAGAGGAAAAAAAAAAATTATTCTTTACTTCCCATTGGCAAGTGATGTACCAGGAAGCAGGGCTTCGGCATGCATAGTGGTTGCTCCAAAAGGTAAATGTTGTAAATAATGACTGCTCTCCTCTTCCTCCTTCTTATTTCCTTAGCTTTTATATCTGAGCTGACATCATATGGTATGGAAGATCTCTTTGGTCAATTTAGGTCAGCTGGCCTAGCTGTGTCCCCTCCCAAGCCTCTTGGCCACCCCAGCCTACTGCCGGAGGGCAGTGTTAGAGAAAGCAGCGCTGATGTTGTGCCAGCACTGCTCAGCAGCAGCCAAAACAGTGGGGTGTTATCAAGACCTTTCTAGCTGCCAGTGCAAAGCTCAGCACTGTGAGGGGTGCCATGGGAAAATGAACTCCATCTCAGCCAAACCCAATAAGTGAATTAGGTGTCTCTTTGTTTCAGTACAGTTAGTCCAGACTTCCTCAAAATCTGTATTTCTATAAGTGGAACACAAATCTCATTTCCACAGTACTAGAAGTTGAAGGTTAGGCCTTTATCCAGGGTAGTTACAGTAAGTTTACACCAGCTGATGATTTCATGCCATGCAATTTCCACATCCGCAGATGAAACATCAATAGATACAGAAGGTGCAGAGAGATGTGCTTGAGTACCATAAAGATAACTAGTTTGGCTACTAGTAGTAATATAAGCAGAGTTCAAGTGTAAACTAAATTAGGCTAGATTTAATTTAGACAACTGAAATTTTGTAACTTAAGCTGAGCTCTGTGCTTGCAGAACTTGTACCCAACCCAAGTAACACAAACCTAACAAAGCCACTGTATGCTGGAATCATTAAAGCAAACATTGAATCTAAAGGCTGCCTATTTTATGGCAGCTTTAAAAGCAAATGAAGCATTTATTAACTTCTATATTGTTTTTAATACCTGAGTACCTCAATGGGTCTGCTCATAAATACTGTACGATGTGAGCAAGGGCACAGTGGCAGGATCTGGCCATAAATGCTTTCAGACATGTGACAGAGACAGAGATTTTTGTCCTTTTGTTTCTAGGTAACTGCCTGGTTTTGTTTAACTATGTTTTGATTATGGTATGGACTTCATTAAACACTGTATGGGCAAATGGCATGCTTTATATTATATTTAGCTTTATCTCTCTACTCATGAGGACTGCGTGGGGTAATTGCTTCTTTGAGGGCTGATCCTCATCTCTTTATTAAAGCTGAAGTGTGAATCTGTGGGAACATTATATAACAGGGGAATGAGATTCCAGCTCTGCTATAATATGTTTCATTTGAATAAATAGTCAGGCTGGAAATTATCTGTGTGTTGTATAACCCCTTCATAAGTTAACGCATAATTAAATTACAGATTTTGGAACTTATACTGGAAATCATTTACTTGCATAAGAAACTCCAGTGGGATTCAGTGGGGTATTATTGGGAACTAATACAAAGTCACTAAAACAAGTAGGAGTTTCTAAACTGAGTCTTGACTGCTTTAAGTGAAAACAAATTAATACATCTCAACATTCTCTAGACAGAGCAAATGTCTAATGTGACCTGTATGTATTACCTACACAATTATTATACTTCTAGAGGAAACAATCATTAAAACTACTGCACACATTTGGGGTATAAAACAATACAATATATATTTTCCTTTGTTCTTACTGCTGCTGCAGAGAAGTGTTATACAATAGTGATTGTATGCAGGATACAGTTGCAGGTTATTTCTATTTTTTGTGGGGAACTGCATGGCATCTCTTTGAAAGTAAGAATCTTTGGAAATATGCAATACAGAAAAGCAATGATGTAAATTTTGAATTTTAATTATGGATTAACTTTTTTACAAAAAGAAGACATAGTAATTGTGCTTTAAGCCATTATTTTTTACACTGTTTGCTTTTCTGTAGTAGTTAAACTTCCTTTATAATCTTATCTAAATGCAAGTGATGAGGGAGTAGGACCAGATCCTTCTCCTTTTGAAGTAATTATTTGCCATTTGTTTTACTGGGAGTACCACAGTGATTTTATAAAGGGCATAAGATTTAATATTATGTACAAATTCAAAGTTATGCAAACTCTGCCTTTTTTAAATATGGGAGCCCACAGAATTATAACACAGACATTTAGCACAGAAATCACTTTTGTGTTAGTGCAGAAATGTTTAGTTTTTTTAAGGGCACTCTTAATCAAAATTCCTGCTGCAAAAAAAGATGCAGCATTGGGCGCTGTATCCCTAGTAGACTATTATATCTTTATTAATGCTTTAATTTAAATATTTTAGATCTTAAATTGTGAACAGTGGGAATGGAAAGATTCTAATTAATGTGTTCAAAATTATTTATTCTGTTTCTGAGGTTCAAATAGAAACTTAGGTCAGAAATGTAAAATTAAGAATTTTAAGGTATTTATCCCATGTAAAATCAAGATTCAGGTGCACAGCCAGGAATGTTACAAGAACCTATTATTTATGCTGCATATCAGCCCACAGTCCTAAATTAGTTATCAAAATGTTAATAACAAAAATAATTAAAACAATTACATTTTAAAATTTTCTCTTCCAATTATAATTGTATACACAAGTAGTTAATTTTGCTATTATTAATCTAGTTGAAATGAGGCATTTTTTATCTATCTATCCATCCACCCACCCATCTGTCTTAAAAGTAGTGTAATGTAGCACTTTTCTAGGACCAGCCTTAACTTTCGTGAGCCAGAGGGAGAAAGCAACGAAATGCACATAACTAAAAATCAATGAATGCTTAATAAAACCAAGCCAAGTGTCTGATCTCAGCAAAATCAGTGTTTTAGATCTCAGTTAGTGTTTGAAGTAAAAGTATACCTTAACTGTTTCAGTTATAGAGAAGTATATAATATATACACTACACCTGTGTAATGGATACACTATACCAGTGCTGCAACAGGGAAGTGATCATGACCCAAACACAGCTGGGAGGAAGAGGCAGGTGGGCATGGGAGATGAAGAACAGCACTGCCTGGCTGTGTTGGGGGCTGAGTTTCTGCTGGGATCCTGGCTCACTTCAGGACTGAGTGTGTGCTAAGGGTGGCCATTCAAGATTGTCAGTTTTAAAATTAAGACTGCCAAGAATAAGAAAGCTGTTCTTATAATTTAACATGAAAATGATCTAGCCCTCCACTCACTGCCATGTTTGCACAGAATCCTGTTTGCTGGCTGCTACGTGGAAGGAATGAGAAAGTCACGTGAAACAGGTACATTACCTCCACAGAGAAGACAAAGACTGTGCTCACTTGTCTTACTCAGGTTAGAGGATTCATTTTCCACATGCCAGAATCCAGGTCCAAAGGACACCAAACCATCAAATAAACCTTTCCAGACGTGAAAACAAAATGGTTTAATGGTCACAGCTAAAACTACAGGGGAGATTTCTTGTGATGGTTGAGCGTACGTAATGTATTCCTGCTTCTAAGAGTCACTCTGTCCTTCCTCAGGCCGGGTCACATACTCCCAATTCTACCTAGCCTCCTGTCACCCTTTGATACATTTGTTCTGTTTGCTAGAGCAGCAGAAAACTAGCTGAGCCAAGAAGTAAATAGCCTGCTAGTGTAGCCAACTCATTCAGGTGCCAAATGAGCACCAAAGCCTGGGAAACAATTGGGAAGGGCATCTGTGCATCCAGAGGTAGGGAATGGGCAGTACAAAAAAAAGATGACTGGAGTTTTCTGTGTCAGTAACCTGCCTGAATCTCCAGGATCTCCAAGAAAATGCTGGAAGACATGTCTTTCTCTCAGGCAAAAAGAAGGTTGAGTCATATATCCAAATTATTTAGGGAAATAAAAAATTGGCTAAAATATAGAAGTTACAGCCTTTTCCTCATCTTACACTAAGTGGCTAAATAAAGTTTCAGTGAAAAGAAGATTGTTTTGAGTTACATAAGCATCTCCTAAAAGGAAAATTAATTTTCCAGGTCCCTTCTCAAGTATTTTGAGTTGCCATGATGAATGGGGGAGTTGCAGGCCAGCACACCAATAATGGAATGGTAAGGAAATGCAATTTCATCAGATGGGGGTTGAAAGTCACAAACCTATCAAACCAGAAGCCATTTAAAAAGATTTTAAAGCATATATAGCAGCATTTATGATATAGATGTTAACATTTCTGGAGTACCTTACTGTTATGTTAGTGGCTGCTGTAATTTTGCCTCAGATTATTGTCTCAGTTAAGTAACTTTTCTTTTGAACTTACAAGATGAAGCAATTCAATTTCTTTCTGGCCTTGTGCTAGGGAAAAACAGGAGGTCACCAAAGAAGTCACTTGATGGTTTGGGATGAAGACTGATCAGTTGAGCTGTAGCGTGAGAAGTTACCTACAGAAGTATCTTTCCATAGTAAACAAAGAGCCTGTAAAAAATTCAGAGGAGAGAAAAATACTAGAAGTGTTTATTAGGACAATGAATTGCTAGAAGTGGTTTCTGAGCAAGAAAACTGCTTTCAGTTGCTTGTTTCTGTTGTATTCAGAGACACAGGTCTTTCTGAATATTCTTATAAATACGCATTGCTATACACTAACAGCCAGTGCTCTTTCTTAAAAAATCTCCTCATTTTAGTGGCTGTCTGAATAGACTAAAGAATAACATTCTTTTTGCAGTGATATAGGTGTGTCATTTCTGTTAGTACATGGCTAAGACTAATCATTATGTCAGTGTGCAGTTATGTCACATGCTCACAAAAGCAGAGCCTATAAGCACCATGAGCAGCAAAGCATACTCCTAGATGCCTAAAATCCGAGCCAAGCCAATTGTTCAGCCACATATAGATTTTAGTATTTTTAATTTAGAGAAATGACACATTCATATACCTAAACAAATATTTAAAAGGAAATTTGTATACCTTCTGATAGCAGAAGGGCAGAAATGTGTCATGGATGTCAATAATCCTTGAGTGCATGTACATTTGCATTGTGAGTGAGAAGCTAGAATAGGACGTCTTTCACTTCTATTTGTCCAAAACATTCTCCTGCAGCCCTGGAAGTATGTTTCCCAGCTGTGATATGTTCAGAATGCAGTTCACAGGGAACAACTTGAATGCATTTCAGAGGGACAGGTCATTCCATTCCCCCTCAGTATTTGAATTGTATGTTTCAGCAGTATGCTACTTGACTCAAGCCACACACATGAGTGGGAAAGAAACACTTCACCTTCAGAAAGTTGAACAGAGGTTCATAAAAGCTACCATAAGGTTTAAGACAGCAAAATACATCAGAGATAGTTGTTCTCAATATCAAGAGGACAAAATGGACAACTATCACAGCAGTGTCTAACACTGTATCTGCATCCATACATATTCACTATTCCCAGGACTGCAAAGATTGGATAGAAACAGAGCATCTCTATTTCTGTTACACAACATATGGCTCAGTTCTTTTTTTTCATGACATGACTAGACAAAACTTAAATTTAATTGAAAGTAAGAATGATTTTATAAAGTCAAATTTATAAATAAGTATATTTTCCTATTTCTAAAGGACATAGTGTTACTTTTTACTAGCCAAGACAACTATTTTTAGCTTAATCCATGTACTGTTGAAATTGTCCGTAGAACAAATGTTAGTTTAACAGATGGGTACACATAAAAATATGTGAAAGCATCTCTATGTGAATCAAATTTAAATGTTAGCTTGCATTGCCATTCAGGAATACAGAGACACCAAACTGTGTAAAGCTCATGGAAGATGATGGGAGAATACACCACTGCAAATCCAATTCAGAACTCATAGTTTATAAATCTGTGCTCTGGTTGCTATGGTAGTTTTAGTTTTGGTTTTGGTGACTCAGGATTATGCAGCATCAAAAAGTAACTCACCTCGAAATGTGGGGTTTCTGTAAAAGAATCATATTCAAAACTGACTAAAGAGCAAGAAGTCTGCTTCTTATGTAGTTTACTTGAAAATTTTGATAGCAATTTGTGCATAGTCCTCTTACCTCTTTTTTTCTGGATAAGGATTATACCAGAGATTTCACTGTTACATGTGTGGGTATGTTACACAATTAGGGTAGAGAACACACCAGATTTAAAGATAGAAATGACTATGACTATCAAGTAAAGCAATGAAAGAAATGCCTTATTCTTATGATAAGTATCTCTGTCATGGTGTTTTAATGTGAAAGGATACTTTTATATTTTGTTATCCTCTCTCTCATTTTACCATCCAGGATTCTTTATACAAATCTGTTAAATTTCTTAGAAAGTTTTGTGTCAATATATATATATGCAATATTTGTCACTATCCTTCCAACGACCCTTTTTTCTCAGAGCTGGAATTGATTACATTAACTTTGATATATTAGTTTTCCTTCAATGGGGAGAGAAAAATGTTAAGACAAAATTTTAGAAGCCACACTGTGTGTAATGCTGTTCAAAATGAGAGACAAGGCAGCAATTTTCCACTTGGAGGTCAGAACAAAATTCTACATCCCAAAAGATGATGATTTTGGGCAGTGCAAAAGCTTCATCTGTGAACATCTGTTGTCTAGAAGCCTGTGTGAAATAGCTTTGAACAATGGCTGTAATGCTTTTAAGAAAAGATGGAAAACCAGAAAGCACACTGATAGCAATCTCATTGCTAAATCATTGTATTGATCAATTGAAGCCTGTTGTTAAATTAACTGGAAATATGTATACACATAGATGCTATCTCTGTAAAATGTTTACATCATTACCTCTACGGAAAAGCTGCCCTACTGAATTCAGTGCTGATATTTCTATGGGGGAAATGACATACTTAATCACCTTTAGTCTTGTGTACATACATGCCAACAAGGGATTTAACAGCACACCTAATGTGTTGGATAGTCTGGTAGCAATACATCAAAAAAGCCTGATAAAACTAGGTCTAACCTAGTGTGTCCTTAAGTTGCACTTATAAAGCAATGCAAATGGTTAAGTGTCTCTCGTTAGCATACTGTGATTATTGTAAACACACATGCACACTTATGCAGTTATCTAATTCACTCTTGTGATACTCTCTTGCACTAGTGATTCCTTTAGAGCTAATTTGATACTCACTTTTAATATGGTCTTCAAAGACAGCTTTAATATATATTTGCTCTAACCCTCTGCACAAATGAATTTAACACTCCATGCTTAGACAGATAATAGGAAAAGAATTTCATATTTCTACCAAAATTATTATTGGCATTTACATATGTTTATCTCAATTAGTATGGAATTGGAAGCTGCAGACTCTTATCTTCTCTCATCTACACTGATTTTACACTGAAATGGAATGACATTAGACAGGGGGTAGAATGGCATTATGACGGGGTAAAGGATATGGCCCCATATGCCTTTCCTATTGAAATTACAAACATTTATGGGAGATATGAGATAGGAAAAAATTAGAAATTAAAAATATTAGTATTATTATTCCCTTCTTGAAGTGTGAACACTTGCAGAGATGAACTAGTTTACATGAATGACAGCTCTACTTTTTGCTTAAGGAAGACCATATGCTTTGCTAGATTTAAGAACTACATATAATTTCCAGCAGTGCACACAACTATCTCCAAAAGACATTTATATTCAATATATATGGAATATCTGAGTTTCAGCTGACTGTACAAATGAATTATATCTTGCCTGTAGTGTCTGCAAAACCCCTCAAACATAACTCCCAACCATAAGGTGCAATCCAAAAAAATTTAAAAGTCAAGGAAAATAATGTCAAGAATGTGGAATATACAAATAGCTGCAGTGCATGGAAAAAATATTTGCTGAAGTTCACTGAAAAGCTGGAGCTGAATCAGTGAAAAAACTTTCCTGGAAAGAAGAATAAAAGGAAAGTATGAGCTCTGGTTTTTAAAACCAAACTAACTGCATGATATTTAAGAAAATTGAGCTGTGGAACCTCTGCATTTCACTAACAAGCGAAGAAGAGCGAGTTGGAGTTAAAAGAGGATCCATGATCAGAAAGAAAAAGCTTAGCTGGAAAATTAAAATCAAGCAGAGAGGTCTGGAACTTAGAAACTTGCTCCATGACATTGAAATTCCTGAGAGAGTGCATTTTGAACACGTGCCTATCGATTTGCCTAGAATTACTTTGTTGCTAATAAAGCACTCTATTTAAATATTGTGTGCTGAAATAAAACATTCTTCAGATATGATGTTTCTTGAAGAGTCAAATTTTCAGACAGCCAACTGAGAGAAGCAGCATGTTGGGGAGGTGACTTGTGAAATATCTGAGGCATTTGGGGCAGGGGAATGCAACTTTTATCTTGCATTACCTTCTTCTGGGTTAGTTTTCAAGTCCTTAGAAAATGGCACTGGGTTGAGAGTCTGTCCCCAGGGGAGTTTGCCCAGAAGGACAAGACCACAGCAGGAGGCTGGAATCTGATTCCAGATTCCAGATTCCCTCTTTAGACATGAGTCATGTGCTGCAGCCAAGCTCCTGGCTGGTAACTGTCCATGCCCTGTTGATGGTACCAGTGCTATGCCAAAGCACAGCTAAATCACTCGTGTGAGCAATAAACACTGCAAAGACTGGCTTTGAATTGTGCTTTGCAGTCAGCCATATTTTCAAACCCAGGAATCTAAAATGTACCCCTGGGTAGTCACACAGGCTGCCAATGGGAAGGTATAAATTAGGTGCCAGGTAATCTTTCATCCACCTACTTAGACTGCAAATCTTTCTCTGGCAAATCTTTCATCTTGACTACCAGATGTTGTCTTTTGTTCTCAATCACATTACGCCTGCAAACTGTCAGTGCATGTATCTCATGCACTGCTGTATGAGTAAGTCTGATGGATATTATGCAAATATCTCCAGATGAAAATCTGTTCTGAAAGACATTAAGAACAGCACGTTGCTGCAGGTATCTTGCAACTACTACTTCTTGTGAAATGTCACTGACATCTTTATCAATATAAATGGAAATAAGAGCATGAGTTGGCTGCACGATTGCCCACCATAAGAAGGAGAGATTGTAATTAGAAAAGCACAAATCATGCAAAATTTGAAGTGTATGAGGTTTGGTGACCGTCTCAAACTATACTTTGTTTCCTATAATTAGTTGAAAACAAAACTTATTTTCCAGTAAGTTCAAAACCACATTTTATCCCCAGAGATTATTCCATTTAAAGCAAAATACATATTCTTTCTAGCTAAAGAAAACAGACTGTGCATAGAAAAAAAAATTTTATTATCTGTTATAGCTTGGTTCCTAGAAGTTGCAACTCTGAACAAAAACATTTTAGTCTTTGTATCTTCAAATGCTGCGTGGTTTGTAACTACTTGTTTTCTCCCAAGAGAAAGGATTGCTGTGCTACCCCCAGGTTTTGGCATCAATGCTACCCCCATTTTGACATCATGGAAGTGAACTGTATGTGAAATGGACACTAAACACAGGGCTTTGTCCGCTGCCAGGTAGAATGATAGAATCTTGGAATGTTATGGGGTTGGAATAGATCTGAAAAATCATCTAATCCCAGACCCCTGCCATGGGCAGCAGCAGGTCCCTCTAGACCGGAATCTTGGAATGTTATGGGGTTGGAATAGATCTGAAAAATCATCTACAGACCCCTGCCATGGGCAGCGGCAGGTCCCTCTAGACCAGGTTGATCAAAGCCTTATCCAAACTGGCTTTGATCACTGCCAGGGCTGGGGCATCCACAACCTCCCTGGGCAGCCTGTTCCACTGTCTCACCGCACTCACCATAAAGAATTTTTTTACAAAAATATCTGTCTAATTTGTACCCATTAGTCCTGGTTCTATCCCTACAGTTCCTGACAAGGAGTCCCTCTCCAGCTTCCCTGGACTGTAAGAGGCAGATGGGAGCTGATGCTTTCGTACACCAAGCTGCTCTGAGGTGGTCCTGTCTGACCTCCCAAAACAAAGGACCCTCAAGCAAGTTGCTCCATTTATTTCCTCTTTTCCAGCCAAGTGGCTGCATGTGTCCCGTTTGCCAGCGCAGGCGGAAACACCGACGTTGCCGCAGGTGACAGAAGCCGCAGGCGGGAACGGGCAGCACCTTCAGCGAAGCTGCCCGACGGAGGCGGGGCTGCAGCCCCACTGCCCCCTCACAACTCCCGACTCTCTCCCTCAATTCCCACCTCCCACTGACCCCTCACGCCTCCCACTGCCCCCTCACAGCTCCCACCCCCCCATGGCCCCGCCCCGCTCGCGCTCTGTCCCCCGCCCCGCAGCCCGCCCCCCGGCAATCTCGCGGGATTATGCTAATGAGGCCGCCATCGCCCCGCCTCCCCGCTCCCCGCCCGCCCCGCGCCCTCCCTGGGCGGGTGAGCGCGCGCGGCCGCGGTGCGCTGTGGGATAGTGGCGGTATAAAGTGTACGCTCGGCGCGGCCGTGGCTGAGGGGGCCGGCGCGAGCAGGGCATGAAGATGGCGGACGCCAAGCAAAAGCGGAACGAGCAGCTGAAGCGCTGGATCGGCTCCGAGACCGACCTGGAGCCGCCCGTGGTCAAGCGCAAGAAGACCAAGGTGAAGTTCGACGACGGCGCCGTCTTCTTGGCCGCCTGCTCCAGCGGAGACACCGAGGAGGTGCTGCGACTGCTGGAGCGGGGCGCCGACATCAACTACGCCAATGTGGACGGGCTCACCGCTCTCCACCAGGTCGGTGCTGGGCCGATCGAGGGGCCCCTAGCCGGACTGGGGCGGAGGGGGGCGAGGCCGGCCGCGCTCTTCCCCCGGAGGAGGAGGTGGAGGAGGAAGGGGCCGGAGGCGGCTGCGCTCCCTCCGCTGGGGGGTGTCGGGGCGGGGAGGCGGCGGCAGGTCAGCCTGGGACCGGCCGGGGCCGCGGGCCGAGCCCCGCGCCGGCGGGGCTGCCGCGGCGGGAGGCTGCGCCCCCTCCCCGCGGGCAGGGCGTCGGAAGGGGCGGATGGGCCTCTCCTCCGGCGGGAAGGAGGTGCCGCTGACCCTCTTTCGTTTTCCCCTTTTGGCACCGCTTCCCTCGGAGGGCTGGGGGAGCGGGGCCTGCCCCGAGTGGGCTGAGGGGCCGCAGGCAGGTGCCCCCCGGCGTGGGAGGGTGACCGCAGGTGAGAAGGAGCGGGCCGCCCTCGGGGGGCGCTTCTGCCGCTGCCCCTTGCCCGGATCCCGGTAGTAGTTCCCTGCTTCCCTCGTCTCCCCGGTTCCGCAGTAGTTGAGCCGATTAAAGCCCGCTCGTGTGTGCGGGCGGCCGCATTAAGAGACGGATCATCTATTTCTCTCCGGTTTCTAGGGGAAACCAGTGTTTTGTTCATTATATAGAAACGCGCATCAGGAAGGGGCTGCTTGTTTTCGTTACCGGTGGCTCCCGCCGCAGTGTAAAAGCTTAACTTCAAGAGGAGCAGGGGTCTTAAATTTTATTTTCGTGCGTTGGAAAGTAGTAAAAAACCCAATCCATACTGCTTTGTTCTGGTGTGGGTATGTGGGAGGGGTGTTGGTGCCGAGGGAGGTAACTTTCACTTGGGCCGGGGGGGGAATGGACGGGAAACTGGCTGTGAAGTTTCCTCAAAATGGATGCTTTGTGCATGTTGAACTTCATAGCAGTCTGATTGGAATCTCAAAACGTTAGCCAAATAAGGAAAGGCTGTGGCAATCCGGAGATAATGCGGGTTTGCCTGAATAGTTTTTTTTCTCTAGAAGGCCAAAAGCTTCCACACAGTATTAGATTCACTGAATATCTGGAAAGCAAAAAAAAATTATCTTTGACAGGCTAGCTTCTTGTTCTGAAGTTTAGAAATTGCTCAGTAGTTCAAAAAAATATTTTTATGGTTATTTGTTGTAGGTTGATCAAGTAGAAATCTTCCCAAAATGGTTAGGTGAGGTGGTTTCTTACATTAAAAAAATGAGATAGTGTATTTGTTTTCTCCATCCTTTATAGGTTTTTCAAGGCTATGAGGCTCTAGAAATACATAAATTGCCTTGCAGGACTGGGTAGAATCTCCTCCTGAGCATGGGATATAAAATTCTACGACTTTGCTCTGTTTGCTGTGTCTGAGTTGTCACTTGCTCGCCTGTAAAGGGTGTTGGTTTACTTTCAGTTGTGAACTGAACTGGAAGAATGAGTGTGTGTTGTGGTTGAGCCTGTCAGCGTGTGACTGCAGCACGGTTACCTGACTGCAGGCTAGCCTGTCACTTCATTGCAAGGTTTTCTGTATTTGTCCTCCTCTAATCAAGTTATGGTCGCTTCGTGCTTCCAGGGAGCTCTGCTTGAGAAGCCATACCTTAACTGGTTAGATCCTTGGCTCTGCAAGTTGCTGTACTCCAGCCATTGGTAGGGAAGGATGACGTTTAGTTTAACTCTATTGTTAGAATAAGAGATGGCGTTCTTTCTTTCTGCTGTCCAGAAGGCATTTACAGAATGTCTGTGATGCTCTATACAAAAAAGCTTTCATCAGGGTAATTCTGAGCATATTCACCCCCTCTTTTTTGTACGTTGTAGTCAGCTTTCAGTTTGGAAGGGCAAAGTCTGAGGGAGCAGAGGTAAAGATTTACATCACTGCTAAAATTCTTGCTCACGCTCCTCCTTTCCCCTCCCCTCTTTTAGTGATACCAGAAGACCTTTTCTGATTTTATGGTACTGAAACCAAGTAAGATCAGTTGTGAAGTTATAACCCTCTTGAGGCAGTACAGTAAGCAGAGGTTACCTGTTGCTATTAAAAAAACCTTATAACAAATCCATGCCTGTGATGACTCTGAATGGTTTCACTTCATGATTAACACAAAATCTTACTTTCTTTTAATATGCCATGTAAAAGGTGCAAATCACACATGATGTGGTCTGTAACATGAATTAATTAAATTAAATTTGGCTGCAGCGTGAAAAAAAGCTGTTCTCAAAGGAAGGTCTTCTAGAACTTATCATTATTCCTGACACTTTTGACTGACTGGCTGTGTTCAGGTCCATATTGTTGTGTTTAAGACTGCCATTGAGTGCTGGTTTTTTGTGGTTCTTTGGTAGGTTGGGGTTTTTTCTGTTTTGTGTCGTCTGTCAGATCCCATGTAGAAGACACTGCTCTTCAGAGAAATAAATTTATCTCAGTAAAGGTGAAATTACTGTAATTTTCTGGTTTGTGTCTTTTTGTCTTCCATCAATTTATTTTTCCATTTTTTGAGAGCAAATGCATACATCTGAAATAGCAATAAAATTAAATATTTAATGTAATATTTAGCCTTTGATTTTCCTGCTACATATGGCAGTTATAGGAAGAGATTTCAGCTTTGTTTTATTTTTCACAGCCTAGGTAGTTGGAAATGCTAAGGGGAAAGTACCATTAATCCTGAAATTCTGGTGAACTTTGGGTCTGGTCTTTAATGGAGCATCAGGCTTTGTTGCTGAAGCCATTAGCTAAGCTTTTTCTCTGAGTGGGCTAGAGTGGTGTGACCATCAGAGAGCTGCTTGTAGAATTGTTTCTCTTCGTGCATACGGGAAAGAAAACAATTACTTGACTTGGTAGCTGAGAGGAGGAAAGTGGGGAGGATATATATAGGTACTTCAGCTCTTGACAGTGCCAGTGAGCAGACTTTGTTTTTTATCTGAACGTGCATAAATGAGTGGGGTTGAGTGCATCATATCTGAGGACAGATGAATTAAATTCTTTGGTATCTTGCAGAAGAGGAAAAATTGTCGTTAGGTGATGGTTATTATTCCTCTACGTAATTTTGAGTTCAAAGCTTGCTTTAAGAATTTGTTCTGCCCAAGTCCGCAGGTTAGGCCTTCAGCAGAAAGGACAAAACTGTTATGTCCTGATTTCCTGTCTGTGAGATACATATGTAATGTAGCATATTGCACAGGATACTGTGTATTGTGCTGCAGGATCTGCGTTATATACATACTGTGTGTCTGTATCTGTAAGACCAGGAAACTTTAAAATGAGAACTTAAATTTACAATCAGATGTCAGTGCTGTTACTCCAGTGGAGGTGGAAGTTTGAATGTTGCACTTTGATACAGCTGTTATGCAGGATGAGCTCTAACTTAAGTACAGCTTTTCTAATCTGCCTTAACAATGGAATATAAGGGGAACTTGAGACAGGAAAGAAGCTCAAAGGTGAGCTGTGACCTTGCAGATCATTAGTGTCTCCAGAGTGGGGAGTTAGAAGTGGCATATTCCAAAATTATTTTAAGAAGAGGCTATATCAAATTTTCAATAAAACCTGATCTCTTCTTAGGCAGACGTATTTCTTCAGAGTGGGATTCGGTTCTTTCATCCCAAAAGCTTAACGCCTATCATTCCTCAGAGTTTGGACTCTCTTCTGCTTTCCTTGGCTTTTATGAAAGAGAATTTAGTTCACTAGCTCTGACTGGAATTTACTGTTTAAATAGCTGAAATTAGTTTGTCTCGAAGTTATGTGAAGCTCTGTACAGGAAAGTGGAGCCCACCCTTTCTGGACAGCACCACGGAAAGACTGCATGCAGTGGGGAGGGACCACGATGTGGCCAGTTTCCTGGAAGGCTGCATTTCCTGTACACATTGCTCCTCTGGGAATGTCGGATATGCAGTGTGGAGTACCTGCACACACCTCAGCACTGGCTGAGATTAGGCTGTGGTTAGGTATCACAATTTATGCAGCCTGCTTTTTGACTGCCCTTTTTCTCTGAGGCTGCTCAGACCTAGGAGATAGTAACCTTGTTTTTGTCCTACTTCTCTCTGGGTGAGGATGGTGAGTGCTGTAGCCTGATTCCACCACACAGCATGGAAAGAACGTGTCCTGCTGTGCTGATCTTACCTGTTCTGGGAAGGGTACTGCTTTGGAGGTACAATGAGGGAAATCCTCTTGGCTGTTTGTGCATGGGGATCATTGCGCACCCACAGGGGATGTTGTTGGTGAAGGCCCCTGCTCCTTGCTGAAGAATTCATGTCAGCTTTTTTGTCTGACAGCTACAGTTTAATTAAGCAAAATTCCTTGAAGGCTATCTTCTGTATCAAATAGTGCTTTTCTGCACCTCTTGAGGTGCCCAGTTGAATATGAAGGTGAGACTGTTTTACCAACATTGTAGTTACCTACTAGTTCGCAGATAGAGCAGTTGGCAGTGTTACTTTCATTTGCTGCCGCTGTTGTAGGACTCTGCTGTGTTTATCCCTGAATGCTAATTAAGATTGTGTGTTTCACAGAATGTTTGCTTACTCTTTCTGAGTAAGGACAGTTCTTGCTGTTATTTCCTTTGGATTTTTTGAGATATATTTATTAGAAGTACCTTCCTTTGCAGGAGTTTTTGCAACTGTTTATGTGGAAAGTTCTGTCAGGGCTTCTGGTGGCATATTCTTAGTACCTGATATGGTAACGAGTATGGGTACCTTTGGCACAGCTGTGTCCATGTTATGACACCCTTTCAAAACTGCAACCAGTGATGCAAAAGGAACATAAAATCTACCAGCACTGGATCCCTTTGCCTTAGAATTTGATACAGACAGTACAGCCATAATGCTCTCTATTTCTTCTGATGAATGGTATGATACAGGTCATGTATTTGAGCTGTGGCTGCAGCACATCAAGGTGTTAAGAGCAAAGACCAGGTTGCCAGAGTCTTAAATATATAGAATGTTTGCATCATAGCAGCAGCACCCAACAACCAAGGGTAAGGAGGGTATGGAAATAGCTCAATGCTATCCCAGTGACCTCCTGGCTATG